TATCGTCAACTGGTATTCTCCAATATCAGCAGCTGATGATTCGCTTGATGATTTTTATTAGGATTTGGAGGAAGTCATCCGCAAAGAAAACTCCTTCTATATTCGTCGTGGGTGACTTCAATGCCAGAATCGGGATATCAGAAGAAGGGAAGCACAGGATCGGGAGATTTGGACCAGAACTTCGAAATGAGAATGGTGACCGTATTGTTGAGCTCTTATCTGCCGCACGACTTTTACATGGCAACTCCATTTTCAAGAAGAAAGAGTACCGGCAGTGGACATAGTGGTCACCCAACGGTACGACTCAAGCGCAGATCGACTACATTCTCGCCAACCGAAGGTGGTACTTACTAGACGTCTTAGTAGTCTTCAGCAGTGGTGCAGATCACGTCTCCTTCGAACAAAAGTGCGATTCAGCCGGAAGCTGGAAAAGAAGATCTGTCACTGTGTTGGGAAGGAGGGAAGTCATATATGACGACGCTAGATACATCTGAGCACTAGTGACTGGCCCATCGAGGAGGACCCAAGTAAGGACTACGATCTGTTTCTTAATGAAGGTCTGAGGTGAGAATGCGCCTCGAACAAGGAACTCAAAACAACTTCCAAAAGCCGCCAAGGATCTGCTAGAGCGGAGGAGAACACTGAGGAATCCGACAGCATCACGTCTTGAGGAATGGTAAGTACCAATACCAGTTGCAGTACAGCTTTGCAAGAAGATCTTCGAAAGACAGGCAATCAAGACTTTTGGAAGCAGCACAAGAAAGGAGAAGTCTAAAGAAGTGCCGCAGGGACCTTTTCGACTATCGTGCTCCGCTGATAACATTACTAAACGAAGACGGGCTCGTACATCTTTCCGGCAAAAGATGGAATCGATCACGAAGAGATTCTAAACCGATCTCTTACCTCAACATCCTTGTCAAACCCTGTTATCCTCACTGGAGAAATACCACTACGGAATCTTTACTGGATTACGCGCCGCAGTTCAGACCATAAAGCAGCCATGGCTCCGGGACCAGACTATGTTTCGGCTGAATTCCTACGAGCTGGTAGACGTCACCTACACGATACTTGCGGCACACCTGA